GCGGCGAGCGAAATGGTGAAGTGGAAAACGGGCTTAAGTTGTCGAAGTCTTTTTGATACTGCTGTTCTGGCAAGTATGTATGAAAGAAACAAATTATTTAATATCTTTACAACATTTACCGTTTATTCATTTGTGTCATTCAGACTTATTTTCGAGTCAAAAATGAACTGAAGGTCATCGGACATATGTCCGACCCAAACTCAACGTCACCGTACATTTTGTCAGACGGCCCTGGAAAAGATATTTTAAGGCCTGTATACGAGAGTCGTATGTGTAACCAGTTTACGCCAGTTACAATAAACTGCACAAAAAATTAAATTTCTTTTTCACAATATGTCCTCTATTCGGTTATAGACAGACCCAAGAGATTGTTCGAGTTTGTTGTTTATAGAGTCTCTCACTGATTTGTGAGCGGATTTCCCAACAGGCTATTGCCCAATCGATAGGGGATCCAAGGTACCTACGATTTAACGTCTTTATCCGAGAAGACCCGAAAGTCTAACCATTTACTGATGTCAATATAAAGGTACCTCAGTTATCTTAAGACTCTTGAGTAGCAGTCTGACCAAGGATTGAACCCAGGTCTCAGTCAAACGAAATTTCCCTGGATTTCGTTGACAGGTTGCTTAATTTATCGTTTGATATTTTTTATATTTGTTGAAAGTGGTTAAAAAGGTTTTTCACTTTGCATTTCATTTACCAAGAAGAAAATGCTGCGAGTTTGCAATAGTTACAGTTTGTTTTCATAAATGCTGGGCACAACACTTTGGACAATACTGTGCAGTTTTACATATACTGTATACTGTACACTGCACATCTGATTCAGTCATCCAAATAAACACTATACTATACCTATACCTCATTAACGAGCAACGCACCTTATTAATATGCTATACAGGGTGTCCCAAAAAAACCCGAAAACTATTGAAATCACTTATTGTTAAAATTGAATGCCCTACTAAAAAGCTGAACGTAATGATGCGTAAAATATTGACAAGGTGCATATATGTATTAAAATTTAGTTAAGAACATCTCCTTGTAAAGTGCGCGATTTTCTGCTCTGGGAATTTAAAGCAGCTTCTTAAATAGTTTCTTTATGCATATTAAAATTTACTTATGTCAATCACTTATGCATGCACTCGTGGGAACCAACAGAGTGCTAAGGCATTCAAATTCTAACAATTAAATTGTTATTGGTGATTTCAATAGTTTTCGTTTTTTTGGGGACACCCTGTATTTGCCAAAATGAATGAACTCATTAATTAATGAGAGAACCTTGGGGGAAAATAGGTTAACTACCCCTCTGTCCATGTCTCTTATTAACACTGTTAAAAATACTCAGTTCAATAGCTGATAACAAAAGACAGGCGCACAAAGTCTTGATCAACAGTACCTGCACAGCCTACTGTGGCAGCACCAGCTCCAATGAATTTTGCTGCAGTTTCAACATCCCTGACACTGGCACTTGTTTGAATACATCTTGTTGCAAGCATATTGTTGCTTTCTACAAGAATGCACATACATGAACCAATAAGTGATGTAGCTATTGAATTTTACGCAACAGATATATTCATGACTTTTACATAGATGTATGACAGTATTACATTCTATTGTCTTACCGATAGATGGATTCACCATTGCTATACAGGTCTAAAAATGAAACAAAAACAAACTTGTCAAAAACAGTCAATTCATTTACTTGTACAAATGTTTTGCAAGCATAGGGACATATTTTCCCATTGCAATTGTGCATTTACTCACAGTACTGGACACAGCCAGAACTGATAGCACGGGTGCTTATTGAGCAGTGTGGATTATAACAATTTTGCTTGGGTCTGACAAATCTCTGATCAACTGTGCCGGGAGCACATACATCATACCTGTAGATTTTATTTTGGTGGAGGTAGCCAATTTTTAAATGGAGCTAGACTATACCATACTCTCGTACCCAGAGTCTGTCTTACACATGGTCAAAAGAGCATAACAAGGGTCGCGGGGTACGAGAATGGGTTGTGCCGCATTTGCCAGAACTACAGATCAAAATTTAGCCTCTGAATGAGAACAAAATGTCAAGTGTGCCAAAGTCATGTTTATGCACGTACTCTGGGCATTTTAGTCTTAGCAAGTGCATGTGTTATTTATGTAATACAGAATATAGAAGTGCATTCTGAGAGTGCATTCTTGCAGTTATTCCAGTTAGTCAGTAACTCCGGTCATAGATAACAAACTCCAAATGATTTTTGGAGTTAGCAACACAGCAAGCAACTTCAAAATTACATACCTAGCGGCTAGGCTGGCCTGCCTCGCTACACATACTTTTTGGAGTTAGGCAGTAACTCAAGGCTTAGATACCTAGTTTTTTTTTCATGATTTTTGGAGTAATACTAATACTTAGCTAGATGCCTAGCTCCTAAATGGTTTTTGGAGTTATATACTTAGCTTCAAATGATTTTTGTCAGTAACCCCAGCTGGCAGTAACTGCAGGCTTAGGTATCAAGCTCCTAAATTATTTTTGGAGTTAGCCAGTAACATCAGGCTTAGATACCTAGCTTTTAAATTATTTTTGGAGTTATACCTATGTAGCTCCAAATGATTTTTGGAGTTAGCCAAAAACTCCACAATTCAAGTTTCAACTCAGTTAGTTTTGAATTACAAAAGTTATTCATGTGTATATTTTGGTTTGGAGTTAGCTCTTTAGACTTTGGAGGTAGCATCCCTTCATACTGTACATAACTTCCTACAGTATTTTCTACAGGCATGGCAGACATTGGCTAATCATGGTCGGCCAGCTTTTCAATATTTTATACATTGATAGCTACACATGTAAAAAATGCTGAGGCTGCTCTTTAACAGGATTGAACAATGTTTGCTGCCGACATTGTTCACACTTGTCAACATTATTGAACAATATTGTGGAGCCTGAATCGGGTGTAACAATATTGTTCAATTTTGTCGACAACTGTGAACAATGTGGGCAGCGAAACATTATTCAATCCCGTTTTCATCAAGGCGTAAAAAAAAATACCTGTGGTTCCGGTTCCCGACCGATCCTATTTTTTTCTGCCGACCCTATTATTTTTTCAACGCGATTGACCGTGCTACCCTATTTTCTCCAGGTGGTTGCGGGCTGCTCATACAGCGTGCCAAAATGGCGTCTGTTGTCACAATAATTATTGAACCAAATTGCCTCAATTCGTCCATAGGAAATACGCATCTCTAGTTAATATTGATGTCAGGACTCTAATGCAAATCGCCCAGCAAAAAAAAAACGGCAAAACCATGAAAAAAATATTCAAAAAAAAATATTTATTTCCGACCTACCGACCCTAATTTTTTCACGATATGAAACCGGAACCACAGGTATTTTTTTTTTACGCCCAACTATTGCAACAACCTGATCATTTTTAGCCGTGTAGTGCTGATTACTTCCTGCATGGTAAGAAGTCCTAGCAATCTCTGATCAAATTGTCGGTGCTGAATACAATTAATCAATGATTTAGTGTTTTTGTTCGGCAAATAGCCGATTGACAAACACGCTGCCACTGAGCCTTGGTCATGCATTGTGCCCTACAGTAATGTTTCCTACTTTGTTGTTTCACTCTGACAAGGGGAGAGCACTGGCACTCAATAGGTTACCCAAATGCAAAATCACTAGAGGTATAGCTACTGGCAGCATTGTTCTAGGAAACTGGCAAAACACTGCCCCAGCAATTAGAATACACCTCTTACTGTAGGAAAGGACCAATACTTGGCTATACAGCCTCGTTTTCGTGCCTAAAACCTTTGCTTTAGGATTCTATATCTTGTTACTGGCAACACTTTTACTGAATTCATAGTTACAATTGAATAATATCAGTACAATATAAAAAAATTGACATTACCAATAACAAGATATAGTAGATTGCTCTAAAGCCAACATTTTAATTATGAAAACAAGGCTCTATAGCCAAGGTAAAGGACTTTCTGGATGGAAGCCATTGCCTCCATTGTGATCAAACCCAGCGGCAATTCTACTTTTCACACAGCAATCTTTTTCTAAACGTTAAAGGGGAAGTCAAGTCCGTAATGTAAACAAATGGTTTGTTTACATTTTGAACTGCTGTATTTTTTTAAATATGATGTACTGTCTGAATATCTAACACCATTTTGGTTCGCTATGCTTCTAAATGAATATGAAATAGAGTTTATGTTCAGAAAAATTCGAAACATTCGAAATTTGGGCAATGCTCACATTAGAGGTCCTCACATTGTTATGAGCAGAACCGATGCGCAGAACGGACTTGACTTCCCCTTTAAGGATTAACCAAGGATGAAACCAACTTAAATGTAATCAAATTATAAACAAGTGTGAAACTTCTCTGTTCTCTTCATAACAAGATCAAACATAATAACAACTGGTGTCTGTTACAGGAAGCAAAAATCTGTAACAAAAACATCATGAAAGCATGCAAAATTTGCCATTTAAAGGACTTATTTTATTGGTGGTACAAGTTCAGTTGGACAATGTTATATTATATAACCTAACACAGAGACACTGCCAACAGAGCTTCAAGGCCAAGATGATTCAAAATATCACCTACTCAAACCGATGCCTGAAACGATGTGGTGAGGCTATTAGAGTTGGGTGATATTTAGAAGAACATATCATGATTATCATCCAGGAAATTATCACGATATTCGATATCACCATAAATGTAATAAAAACAATGGCCGCAGTTTCAAACTAAGATAATATACAGTAAAAACATATCAAGAACATAACAATTAAGCTACATTGGTAACTAATAAGATAGATCAGTTTATATCTTATTAGCAATAAAAAAATGAAGTAAATATCCAACTAAAACTAGTTAGAACCTTGTTTCATTTCATCATTTCATAAACCTTAGCTGTCCATTTGAACGTCAAAATTTAATTGATATGTTCAAAAAATTAAAAAAATTGTTTTCAGGTTTTGTGAAAACGATGCACGCATGCCAAAAAATATCACAATAGTCGTAACTGACCGTAACAATGATTACAATATATTATCGCTCATGTTTCTCCCTTTGATAACAATAATTTGCGTAAAAATATCACAATAATATTGATATACCGCCCAACCCTAGAACCTTATCTTGGCAAATCACTCTCCTGGTTTCACCAAGGAGTGACAGGGAGAAATGAATAGCATGGGAGGACATGGTTTTGAAAGCCATCAGGTGTCCCAAAAAAGGTTAATCCTTTCGATTTAATATAATGGAAAAACTAAACAGCTACTGGCAGTATTATCCTCAAAAGATGTTTATGTTGTATTGAAATAAGAAATTTCTGAAAATTTGTACAAATGATAATTGTGCATTATAAGTGCATCATAAATTACTCTCTGTCTCTCTCTGGGACAGAATAAATGAAGCTTAAGTGCCCAGTGACATGCATGCAGGCAGGCAAACAAATTTTCAAACATCCTTAAAGACAATGCAATATGTCCTATTTTTAATTAGACTTAACAATGTTGGTTTCATTCTATGCATTTTTGCCACCCTATGTGTAATAGTGCTGTGCACTGGAGTTCTGGTGGAGCTTCGGCATTTTTTGGGCAGCCAGAGCCAAAGTTGTGATGCTTTCTCCCAGCTCAGGCTGGAAAGTCAGAATGAGAAATGTGATGATTCGGTAGAATTAGCATTGGTCACAAATAATGGCAACATTGAACTTGCTGATGGCATACATATAATCTGAAGTCATATCTGTTGTGTCAAACCAAGTCATTATGTCTGTGACTTACCTATTGCAGGAAAAGTTGCAAATTGCTAGCATCATGCTTTAATACACTGCATCATTATGGCCCCCTGCCAGCATGCTACTCGAAGTGCAAAACAGCAATTAAGGCCTGGATTTATACCGACTTATGTATGAGGATACAATTTAGGGTTATGGGTTTTGAGTGTAGTAATTTAAATATACTTTTTATACAAGTAGCAAACTCAATTTTGAAGCAAAACAATTATCAAGAAACATAGCCAGAATTTTCATAAGAATATAAAGTTTTCATCATAAAACTCATTTCTACATGTACAGTTTAGACAACAAAATTATGATGGTATTATTTATATTTGTAGTATTAGCAAGAAAATTCACTGAAAAGTATGGTATGAAAATATAACCCACATCTAAATATAAGTATAAAAGTTTTGAGAGTTGTCGTGATTACACAATAGTACTAGTGAATATATTGATTTGACCTTTTAGATGTCTTGAAAATTAAAACCCATTTTTAATAAAGCAAAATGTTTTAACCATTTGCACTAAAATGTCTATAAATTCATGAAAAGAATATAAATTTCGAGAATAAACTATTTTACCACGTAAACTGACGTAAAAGAAGCTGCTTGTGTAAGGTACAGAGTTCAGCTAGATGTAGGTCGAGTTTATCACATGGCGGCAAACGGCATGCCAGAATATCGATAAAATGCATCCAAAACGAAAGAATTTCGGTATTTCAACACGAAATTAACGAAGTATACGAGTAATAAACAAGGAACGGGTATTTTTAAAGGCTTAAACAGCTAAGATTACTGTACAAACCTTTGCAAGTGTTGGACTAGCGTTGCGCATGGTCGTGAGCCGGCCATTTCCTACCTGTGAAGAAACGGATAAAATTCGTGAGAAATATCGAACTACCGCGGCCAAATTTTTACCTACGAAATGAACTTACTAATACTTACAATCACCCTTAATACTGGCGAAGCTAACTTGCTGTAACTGTACATATTTTCTACAGATTTTTCAACAAAAATCACACAGTTCCAACAAAAAAGTGAACCAGGAGGAAGCTCGCAGTGCAAGATGGGTATTTGAACACCTCGCTCTATTCGGTACCAGTCTATCGGCCGAGCACAGACGCAACGTGATTGGTTAAAATATAAAAATGTTAATATCAATGGTAATGAGTTAATATTTTACATAATATTCAGGAAAAAGTCCTCAGAACAAGGTTCTTTTTGAAACAAAAAATGGCAAGGAAAAACATGAACGGTCTGTGCCCGCGGTACAGGGGCCGCGGAACCGGGGGATAATGGACATAATGGGGGCATGCCCCCACTTTTTTAAAAGTGAAAAAAGTGCCCTTTTTTCTGGGATAAAGTGCCCCATTTAAAGAACGAAAACAGGATTTCTTGAATGAGCGCCCTCTTTTGTTGGAAAGAAAGTGCACTTTTTGTAGTAGAAAAGACTGTGTAAAGGCGATTTCCGACATTATAGAGGCTCCATATTTTGAAAATATTTGAGTGTCTCGGATTGAAAAGTAGTAGTTGTAGGAAAATTTTTGGTTAATTTACGAATATATCACTGAATTAATTTTACAAATTACGGTAAATTATTTCGAAAGTTAGTGGAGAATGCTATGTCCAGATATTTTTCACCCCCCCCCCCCCCCCCC